TCAGAATCAAACTATCAGTTTCAGTTTAACAGGACTGGGTAGGAGAGCAGAACGACCCATACCAGAAAACTGAGCAGAAGATCTTACTAGCTTAAAAGTAGGGCTCCTTCCCCCGTCACACACACAAGTACTCAAGTCGTGACTTCTAGGTCGCTGGAATGATCCTGCCAGCCATTGGGGCCCGGGGCAAACTGACTCTGGGCACCTACGTCTCCCTAATTACAATTTTCAATATGTATCAATTCTGTACTCAAATGATGTGTCTAAAATATTGACATGTTAAGCGTTTCAGTGTTAATCCGGGTTCCAGGCTAAGTGTTAGTTTATGCCAGCGTGCCAGCTAGATCATCCCAAGCAGCCTGCGCGGAGGAAATGAAAGGGGAGGGCTGTGTGGGAGCGACGGTGCCTCAGCGCCATACCTGGTCTGCCACTTTTCCACGGATTCTCCTCTTTCCCGCGGCAGGTAGCAGGACTGCTGGAACTCGTTAGCAAAGAGGATGCAGTCGTGACGAGCGTCCTTCAGGAGGTTCCGCAACTTGTTATACTGTCTGCGACACGGGAGAAAAACAAATCCGACATAGCGGGGACCCATCTACTGCCATCTCTTGCTAAGGATCAAAAAAAGGACAAGCCATTTTAGAGCAAAAGATTGATTCTTTAAAGCTTGAGAGTCGTGTTTATAGCGGCCTTGGGTGCTCAGTACCGCTGGGCTGCTCCCGTTTCCCAGTTTTGCTGGAACGGGCTTGGGAGGTGCCTCGTTAATTAGTTTGCAGATCAATTAAACTCCTTTCCCCCTTTCCCCTTCGGAGACTTGTGGCCGTCTCATTATGTAATTATGCTGTCCTACCTCGGCCCTCTTCAAAGCCTGAGTGCGCAGAGGCAAGCAGAGAGCTTAGCACTTTATTTCTGTTCCTCACTTTGTTCTATAAATGGCATTAACATCGATTTCGCTTTTTACTTTTTGCTGGCAGCCCTAGAAAAGGACATGCAAGGTAAATAAGTTTGGGGATTTATCTGTGAATTATATTGACGCAGCCTCCGTGACTTACATGAGAGCTAGCCTCATCCGTCGGACGACTAACAGAAAGTTTTATGGTTTTTCCCAACAAGAAGAGATCCTTCCAACAACACTAGCCGAAGTCACAAATGGAGTATCAAATCTCATGTAGGTCAGTTTATAAGAAGGTGCTCTTTAATAGTATAGGTAATAGGAAATTACAGAAAACATTCGGTTATTTAAAAAGGAGTCAATTGTTTACTTAAAAATAGATTCATACTAAACTAGATGTTAAGTCAATATATAAATTATCCAGGTAGTTGATTGGCATTTAATGTGTGTTTTCATATAATAAAACTTGTATCTTTCCATCCCCGCCTCCAGCTGCAACCACGGGTTTTAAAAAATAAGTCTTTTTATTAAAGCAAAGGTAGAACACCCTGACTTATCCTGTCTAAATATGCAAATACTAACCACTATCTGTGTGCTCTTCCACTTTGTTAGAAAACAAGAGACACTGAGGCTGAGCATGGTGCTCATACCAATAATCCTAGCACTCTGGGAGGCTGAGGTGGGAGGATCGATTAAGGTCAGGAGTTCGAGACCAGACTGAGGGAGACCCCCTAGAAAAATTAGCTGGGCATGGTAGTGAGCACCTGTAGTCCCAGCTACTTGGGAGATGGAAGCAGGAGGATCTTTTGAGCCCAGGGGTTTGAGGCTGCAGTGAGCAGTGATGAGGCCACTGCACTCCAGTCTGGGCAACAGAGTGAGACAAAAACAAACAAACAAACAAACAACAACAACAAAAACCCAGAAAACAAGAAACACTAATTTTATTTTCTTAGTAATTCTAATTTTGAGTCACCTTAAAAAGAATCGAGTAATAGCAACTTATAAAATGTCTTCATAAACGGAGGGGTTCCGTTCCATTTCTGTGACTAGCAGCTTTCCTTAGCAGGATTCCACGTGTGCAGACAAAAGCAGCCCCTCCCCTCAAGACGCCTGGAACATATTATATTGGTAATTTCCCCACCTTCACAAAGACACATTTAAAACTCATTATAAAAGCCTCTTAGAAGCGTCTACACTGCACTGTTAACTGTGTTCGGTTCTGCAGGGCACAGACGTTCATTTTCTGCTTTGCACATTTCTGTAATGTTTGAAGTTTTTAAAATGAGCATTGTTTGTTAAGTCATAAAAAAGACTTTTGAAGAGATTTCATAAACATCTGTAATTTATTATATCAGAGAAAATGCTGAAAAAATATTCCCTGTTCTTCCTGATCTCGTGTATTTTTTTTTTGTCTTTTTTTTTTTTTCTTGTTTCTAGAGATGGGGTCTCACCGTGCTCAGGCTGCTGTTGAACCCCTGAGCTGCAGCGATCCTCCTGCATCGGCCTTCCAGAAAGCTAGGATCACAGGCGTGAGTCACCGCGCCCGGCCTGGTCTTCCCGATCTTATCTCCATAGAAGTTTTTGCTCCCTTTACCTACCATCACGTTTTGTATACCCCTAAAAATGCACTTAAACTTACTGCAGTTATTTGTTTACAAATGATCTCCCTTGCTAAAGATCCTTCATTCAGGCTGGGCGCAGTGGCTCACGCCTGTAATCCTAGTACTCTGGGAGGCTAAGGCAGGAGGATCCCTTGAGCTCAGGAGTTCAAGACCAGCCTGAGCAAGGGTGAGACCCCACCTCTACTAAAAATAGAAAAATTAGCCAGGCGTGGTGGTGCGCACCTGTAGTCCCAGCTACTCGGGAGGCTGAGGCAGGAGGATCGCTTGAGCCCAGGAATTTGAGGTTGCTGTGAGCTAGGCTGATGCCACAGCACTCTAGCCTGGGCAACAGAGTGAGACTCTGTCTCAAAAAAGAAAAAAAAAAAAGAAAAGATCCTTCATTCAACAAATACTTGCTGTACTTCTTCCTTGTGCCAGGTCTGCCGGACAAGGTAAGCGCTGCTGTACTGAATGCCCCAACCAACTAGACCTCCCGTTGCATCTGAACAGTGCCCCCTGGAGTAGGTGTAGCGCAGGTGTAGAGCCCCACACCTGCAGCAAAAAAATTAAACAGAACTACCAGACGATCCAGCAATCCCCTTTCTGGATATGTATCCAAAAGAATTGAAAGCAAGGACTCAAACAGATATTTGTACACCTATGTTCATAGTGGCGTTATTCACAGTACGTAGCCGAAAGGTGGAAGCAATCTATTGATGCATAAAGACAGATAAACTATATATGGTACATAATATTCAGCCTTAAACAGGAAGGAAATTCTGATGCATGCCATAACATGGATGAACCCTGATGTGTTACGCTGAGTGAAATAAGCCAGTCACAAAAGGACCAATACTGCGTGAGGCCAGTTACGTGAGTGCAGAGAGCAGTCGAATTCACAGAGGTGAGAAATAGAATAGTTAGTAGGGGCTGGGGGTGGGGAGCGGGAGTTAGTGTTTAATGGGTACAAAGGTTCTAATTGGGGAAGATGAAGTTCTGGAGGTAGATGTCGGTGACAGCTGCGCAACAATGCAAACGTATTTAATGCCACCGAACTGTGCACTTACAAATGGTTAAAATGATAAATTGTATGTATGTACATTGTACCACAATTTAAAAAAAAATAGCTGCTTGGCAAAAACAAACAAAACGAAACAGAACCGCCCATTTCAGTGAGTGGTCCCTGAAAGGAGAAGAGGGGAGGGGTGGGAAGGCTTCCTGGAGTAGGCGACCCTGAGACCTGAAGGACGAATGGGAGGTAGCTAGACGCAGGACCAAAGGAGAGAGGGACGGGGCGATCAAGACAGCAGGCAGTGTGGCTCATCTCAGCATCCTCTGCGCTCTACTCACAGCAGGTGCTCGATAAACGTTTCCCAAATGAATACACGAATGCGCATCCCTGTGTGACAGCAGTGATCCAAGTCCAGTATAACATCTCTGACTAAACCCTGACATTTCCAGAACGCGGTTACCCGTTCACTGGGCTTCATAGACACGACTGCATTTGTTACCACACCCTCACTTTAGACCCAGGGATGCTCGAATTCTGTCCTCCCCAAACACGGATGTGCACAAGCCAGACCTAGGCATTACTAGCAAATTGGAGTAATGACAATCTTTCCTAATATTTAGAAAAATACGTAACAAAAAGAATTTTCTCAATTTTGAGTTTCACTCCCATATATTTTTCTTAGACTTTTAGTGCGTGCTTCCATTTGTCAGCTACCTATCAGCCAGATAAAACAAATGAACAAATGGCACAAGAATATTAATGCAGAAAGCAGAAACAAATAGCGAATGACTCTGAGTTGACAGTCGGGTTTTCTCGTAGACGTGTGAGCTTACGGTTATAATTTAATAGTGCATGCATACAATAGTCATATTTTTGGCTAGTCAGGGTTTGTGGTGCACATGATGGAATTAGATATATGAGTATCCCGCACGGAGTCAGCAAAGAGCGTCACGGCGCCTTAAACAAGTTTGAGCAGAGTGATAGGAGAACGATGGCTTCGGATAGTCAAGTATGATAAAATTATTTTCAGTTTTAAAAATTCCAGTCTTGGCCGGGTGCGGTGGCTCATGCCTGTAATCCTAGCTCTCTGGGAGGCCGAGGCAGGCAGATTGTTTGAGCTCAGGAGTTCGAAACCAGCCTGAGCAAGAGCGAGACCCCGTCTCTACTAAAATTAGAAAGAAATTAATTGGACAACTAAAAATACATAGAAAAAATTAGCCGGGCATGGTGGCACATGCCTGTAGTCCCAGCTACTCAGGAGGCTGAGGCAGGAGGATCGCTTGAGCCCAGGAATTTGAGGTTGCTGTGAGCTAGGCTGAAGCCATGGCACTCACTCTAGCCTGGGCAACATAGTGAGACTTTCAAAAAAAAAAAAAAAAAAAATTCCAGTCTTAAAGAAAAACCCTAGTTTCCCTGGACTGGCTTAGATGTTTTCTAAAACTCCATCATCTAACCATTTCAAACAATTTCTTAGGGGGACAGCTAAATTTATCTTCTTTAGATGATTTTTGACTATTTTTATTCAGTGATGACCTTATGTACGGATGCGACATCCCCTCCCCCTGCTGACTGCATTAAGGATTAAGAGGTTAGCATCCCACAACCAGTGGGAAGACTTACGAGGAAGCAAATTCTGTATTAAATGTATTTCTTCAAGTAGGTTTTACGGCACCCTGGTAGGGTCTCATATGCTCACTTTCAGGGGCCCTTGAGTTTCTACAAGTTTGTTTCCATTTATATTAGATGATACTCACAAAACATTGTTATGCAATGTTTTGGACCACCTGAATGGCTGCCTCCTGACTGCACCGCTGTTTGGTGTCAGAGGCGGCCCTCTCAGCAGCCCCAGAGACACCTCCGACTCTCAGCCTTCCCTCCCTCCCCGTCCTCCGGCAGTGCTCCCTCTCTCCGTTCAGGCACCTAAGCCAGAAACCTTGGTGTTACCCTTGACACCACCTTCTCCCCCATCCGTATCCGAATCCACCACTAGTTCCACAGATTTTTAAAAATAACGGCTATACTGAGACATAATTCACATGCCATAAAACTTATGCTTTTAAAATGTATAATTCAGTGGTTTTTAGTACAGCCAGAGTTATGTAACCATCACCACTGTCTAATTCCAGAACACTTTCATCATTCCAAAAAGAAACCTGTATCCATTAAGCAGTCATTGCCCATTCCCTTGACCCCGAGCCCCTGGCAACCGCAGATCTACTAATACTGTCTGTGGATTTGCCTACCATGGACAGTGTATGTAAATGCAATTATACAACATATGATGTGATAGAACGTGTGCGTGCTGGCTTCTTCCACTTAGCATAACCTGTGCAAGGTTCATCCGTGTTGTAGCACGTATCAGTACTTCACTCCTTTTTATGGTTGAGTAATACTCCATCGTATGAGTAGACCATATTTTACTTGACCATTATCAGTTGATGGATCGCTTTTGGGTTGTTTGCACTTTTTGGTTACTAGAAATAAACCTGCTAAGAACATTCGTGTTGAATGTTTTCAGTTTCAATGTTCACATGGTTTCAGTTCTCTTGGTTATGTACTTAGGAAGTTTTACAGATTTTCACACACTAAACAGCCCTTGGAAACATCTATTTCTCTCCATCTCTAAGCTACCAACATCTCTCATCCAGACTAAAGCAATAGCCTCCTCCCCTCTTTTTTCAGGCCTCTTCTCCCCCTGGCCCGGTAATCCTTTTACAAGAATCTGATGATGTTATCCCACCCCGCTTAAAACCCTCCCCTGACATCCCAAGGCCCGTGAGGCCTTCCCTCTGACTCAGATGTTCTTTCCGTTCTTTGGGCCCCTCAGCATAGGTACCTCTCTCAGGACAGCCCTTCCTTGCCTCCCTGGCCAGTCTGGGCTGTCCTGGAGCCACGTCCTTGCACTTCGGTGCATCTGTCACGGCTGTGGCTCTACATCGGTTGTTTGTGTGATGGCCCGATCACCGCCTATCTCCCATCAGGACCCTATCTGCTTTTGTTTACCACGGTACCCTCAGTGCTAGCAGTTTCTGGCACAGGTAGTCTCTAAATAAATATTTGTTGAATAAACAAATGCACACCTGAATACATGAATGTGGCGGACAAGACAGCCTTTCAGACCTCTCAGGTGACCCCTCATTAAAGAAGCATTTGAGGATTGGTAGACGGCAGAGTATCTGATTATCCTGAACAGTCAACAAACTGACATTATTCATGTGTCCTGTACTATATACTTATGAGAACAGGCATTCTCTGCATTGAAATTGTTGAAATCGAAATACAAAATCATACTACACACAGAACCGGATTAGAGGCTATGTTCTTCTATTGTTAAATTCAACACTAATGATTTCGTTTCAGCAAAACAATGTCATCTGTCACATTAAATTAATATTCATTTGCAGTTTTCTGATTTTATAGCTTTGTTTATTTAATTTAAAGGTCTTATTTGGTTTTAGGGTTGTGTTAAGGTACTCAAACATTAGGATTTATACCTAGATTTATGTTTAAATATATTTAAATAACAATAAAATAAACACTGGGTGTCCAGAAGAATTTTTTTTCCTTTGAGAAACAAGGTCGATACACTACTCATGTTAAGTGACATTGAGGTATTAGATGGGGAGTTAGATCATGTGCTCTTAGATCTCTCCAACCATAATATTCTATGATTCCAATCTTATGTTATAGACCATCAAGAAACTGAGGCACAGAATGTTGAGACTCTCTGAAGCTATACAGAAGGAATTCAGGAGGGAGTCAAAAGGAGACAGCAAAGCATCCTCATACCAGACACCAGATCAGACCAGGTATTATCAACTGACGAAGCTTTTCTATGCAATAATGTTCCTAAAAGCACATTGGATAACATGAATTATTTACTGGCATCACAAAAATCTCCAAGGAAGAACGGAAAAACAAAATGAAATGTTTCCCAACATCAAATGAAACAAAACACCAAAGAGCTTCTGCTAGGCCAAGTTCAGTTAAACATAAAAAGTCAATTCTTACCAAAAAAATTGATAAGTATGAGAGGTAATGCATATGTTAATTAGCTTGATTTAGCCATTCTGCAATGTATACATATTTCAAAACATGTTGTACACCATAAATATGTACAATTTTTATTTGTCAATTAAAAAAAAAGTCAAATGATTTACACTTAACACTTAGGAAGCCTGAATTTATAAAGCAAGTCTCTTGGATCTTACATATTCAATGGTGATCATTAATTTTAAAGATAGCTTTTAATATATGACACTTCCTAGGGCTTAGGCAATTTTGGTCATTTAGCTATGTCAACCTGAATGTACTTGCTGGTTGCTTGACAGGTAAACAAAGTGCCAAATCCCAAACTTGCTAATTCCTTTTCCTGCCTCTTCATCTTCTTCATCAATCATGTTCATAATACAGCCTCTACGACAAGTCTCAAAGCTAGTTCCCCCAGAGGACTTTCTGGCCTAATCCCTACACCTCACCTTTACTTCTGCACTCTGCATGGTGCACATTAAATTATCCTTCATGTGGCTGAGGTGCTTCGTAATCACCTTCCTGGTTCTTCCATATAACCCCAGCAAGACAACAAGTTTTTGTGAGAGGAACTAAGACTTCTTTTGGTACTTCCAGGGCCTGGAGCTAGGAGCTCAAAAAGTGTTTACCAAATGGAAAAACCAGGGTGTTATCATACAGTCCTATTTCATAACTCCTCATCTTTTGTTTTCACATTTAGTATATTCAGAGACACGGTGAAGCAGTAGAAAGCCAATAGTTTTTCATCAAGCTAACTACTTTAGAAATGTTCAAGAGTAAAGACATTGAAATTCCAATTCTTTGCCTTTGAATGTCCCAGGAATTGGTTTTTAAAACAATCGCTAATATTAAAAATATTCTAGAAAACAGAAGTTGAAAAGGCTCGCAGTGTGTTAGTAAGCTGAATGATAAGGACAAATTGATTTTAGTAGCAGAAATTGAAATATGACACCTGGAGCAGCATTTAAATCTGGATGTGTGTAAACATCTATATCTTTGTGTCTGAACAAAATCAACTTCGAGCTCATTTTAAAATATTCTATCTGAAAAAACCTGCGCACAATGTAGTTAATGTACATTTTTGAACGGAGCATATTATAAGGACAATTTGTCATTTTCATGTACAAATAAAAACACTTCATCTTTTATTACCAAGGTCTAAAGAAACCACAACATTTAAAAAAAGAATAAATGCATAGCTTCTGCTTATTAAAAAACTGAAGGTGTTAAGAGGTTGGATGTATAATTCTAATATGTTATTTCCACGCAGTTTTAAGTTCAAATCATAAACCTTTCTCAATGTTAAATGAAGCAAAACCATTTTTTACAGTATTTGTTTAAAAAGTGAATAACTATTCTTCATTTAGGTACAAGACAAGTATTTTAGATTGGTTCAATTAGAAACTCTTTGTTTAGCAAATACAATTACGATGGCTGATAGTTACAGTAATAACCTAAAAATAAAACAAGTTATTTTTGGTTTCATTGAATAAATCATTACAAGTATAATTTGCTTCCACAATAAAAGAGTCTAAAATTTAAAAATACTCTTTTACCCAAGAGCGTACACTTCTGAAACAATGTACCTATAAATAAGAGCGTTAAATAATACACATTTATCAAAAAGAAATAAGCAATAACCCTGCTACTATAAAAATGCAAACCAAAAGCCAATTCACACTAGAATCTTAAATACCCACATACTGGGGACACTGCAGTTTATTGATCTACAGTCAGATCTTTTTGCCAGGTGCTGAAGCAGAAATATAAAATAATGTTACCGCATTGCTCACTAGCAAAGAGAATACCAAATTAGTTCGAAAAGTTCTTTCTGACAAAATAATAAATTCCCCCCATCCCCCTCCAACAAGGGACCTTTTCTAAGCGGGGGGAGGGGGGCTCCACTCATAAATAAATAAAGAAAGCAAAACAGATACCTCCGGCCTCTTTGATGCTGCACTGCTTGGCAAGCTGTTTGCATGAAAATAATTCCTTTCAACTCAGGAAACTCAAGGATCTCAAGGTAATCTTGAACAACCTTCCAATCTGGAATGACGTAATGAGTCACATCTCCAGACAAGACTTTCCCATCTGAAACATAATAGACAGTGTTTTCAACCCTGGTTTATTACTATTTAAATGTCATGGTGCTCCAGTGTGCAACATAACTTCCAATCTTAACTCCACCTTGAAGTTTTTAAAAGACAAATCTACTTTGGCAGAGGCCCAAAGTTCAGGTAAATTGAACACCTTCATTTTTTTTTTACCCCCGAAGCTGTGATAAATACAAGCTCAGCATGGTTTACGGTGTTGCCAGTGGTGCAGGAGAGGATGACTGACGTCTTAAAAAGGAACAAGCACATTTTCAGCATAACCTGAATATTTCATTGACAGACACATTCAAGAGGAAGACCCCCAAATATATATGTACAAAATATACACTACTTGTGCATGCCCAGCAATTTCAAGTCTGTTCTGTTTCAAGCTTGTGAACATGCTCAGCTGTCTCCAAGGGCCAGAAAGACCGAATTAACTATTACAGAAAAGACGCTCAGTGCAAGCAATGGACGCTGGTAGGGGTCCCACCCAGCAGGCGTCTAACAGCTGGTTGGCCGAACTGTCTCTGAAATGTTCACCTAAACCATAAACTCAGGATTCCAAACATTCGCTGTAAACGATGCCCGAGCTCATCTCCCACCAGGGAAGAGAACCTCTAACGTGCATCGTTGTATGGGCCACCCTTGCAGCCTGGAAGCCAAGTGGGGGTAGGTCCGGCGCACAGGAATCCCAAATCCTCCTTTCCCACGACCGGCCTCTACAGCAAGGGCCCAGGTAATTCACGAATCCTACGGCGAAGGGGGCTCGCCCCTGGATAAATGTCTGAGGCATCAGTACTGGCAAGTCAGAAAATCTGGGGGCAGCAAAGCAGACAACTGTCAGATGCGCAGCAGCAGCAGCAGCAGCTCTGCGGGCACGTGCGGCCGCTCCCGGACGCGCGAACGGCGCAGGCCTCCCCCTTTCGCCGCGGGCTGGCGCGGGAAGAGGCGGGCTCCTGCGCCCTCGGGCCCCTCTGACACCCGAGCCACGGGCCTCCGGGCTGTGGGCGCCTCTCCCGGGCCCTCAACCTTGGCGGGGTGGAGCAGTCGCGGAGGCCAGGGAGGAGCGCCCCAAAGCAGGGGGTGAGGCCGGCTCGCTCCCCGCCCGCCGGCGGCTGAGGCCTCGGGCCTGGGGCTCCGCGTCCCGCCATCGCGCTCCGCCCCGGCCGCGCTCCCCCGCCTCGCTGCGGACGCTCGACCCGGCCGCAGCCGCCCCGGCTCCCGCCCGGCCCCCCTCGCCCTGCCCGGCCTCCGCGGCTCCCCGGCCCCCGCTCCCGCCCGGCCTCCGCGGCTCCCCGGCCTCCGCGGCTCCCCGGGCCCCACTCCCGCCCGGCCTCCGCGGCTCCCCGGGCCCCCTCGCCCTGCCCGGCCTCCGCGGCTCCCCGGGCCCCCTCGCCCTGCCCGGCCTCCGCGGCTCCCCGG